ATAAATATTGTTTAAAACATTATCCTTCAGAAAATATGTACAATAACCTAGAAAAAAATTAAAAAATCAATATAATTTGAGTTTCCCTCCAACGATTAATTTAATTTTTATCTTAAAATGATTATTAGACATCACTTAAATGATATCAAAAATAAACCAGAAAGGGTCATGACTTTTGGGTTGAATTTCATCCAAGCTCACCGTGCAAAGTTTGGAAAACATGGTTTTTCGATGCTCGTTGCTTCCGGTTAAGTTTTAGGGGAAAAAGTTGTTATTGAAAGTTATAGAGCTTGGAAATACCTTTCAAATGATGGGTCATATGTTAAAAAAGGTTAATTAGTTTAGTTGGAAATGAATTTAAACCATTAAAAATAGCACTTCTTTAATTGTTTAATAACTTTGTTAATAATTATCGAATTTGTTCATAACTTACCAGGAATGTTCTCCTTGCGTAGCTGAATAAATCCCAAAAAAAATTAACTAGATCGGAGAAATAGTTTATGCATAATTCCATTTGTTAACTAAAAACATGTAATTTTTCAACGGAATTTCCCCACTTTTGGTACATCGAATTTCGATTTTTTTTTTTTTGGAAAGTACACTTAAGAAGTCAAACTTTCATCCTATTTAAATGGCCAATTGATTTTTTTTTATCTAAGTGCATAATAAAAAGGGTTAAAAAAGAGTGTGTTTTTTTGTCATAAACAAATGGAATTACTCAGCCAATTTTCACTTTATCAATTAGCTATAAACGGCATATAATTCCATTCCACAAAATATTAATAATTAACTTCTCAGGAATTTTTTTTTAAAAAAAAGTTAACTCCCCCCCCCCCCCCCCTTCAAGTTAAGTCGGATTTTTTTTTTGAAAAGTTTTGTGGAAACAAATGGAATTATATGCCGTTTATAGCTAATTGATAAAGTGAAAATTGGCTGAGTAATTCCATTTGTTTATGACAAAAAAACACACTCTTTTTTAACCCTTTTTATTATGCACTTAGATAAAAAAAAATCAATTGGCCATTTAAATAGGATGAAAGTTTGACTTCTTAAGTGTACTTTCCAAAAAAAAAAAATCGAAATTCGATGTACCAAAAGTGGGGAAATTCCGTTGAAAAATTACATGTTTTTAGTTAACAAATGGAATTATGCATAAACTATTTCTCCGATCTAGTTAATTTTTTTTGGGATTTATTCAGCTACGCAAGGAGAACATTCCTGGTAAGTTATGAACAAATTCGATAATTATTAACAAAGTTATTAAACAATTAAAGAAGTGCTATTTTTAATGGTTTAAATTCATTTCCAACTAAACTAATTAACCTTTTTTAACATATGACCCATCATTTGAAAGGTATTTCCAAGCTCTATAACTTTCAATAACAACTTTTTCCCCTAAAACTTAACCGGAAGCAACGAGCATCGAAAAACCATGTTTTCCAAACTTTGGCGATTGTTTACACTGTTTTTCGCACCCGGAAATCGAGAGCAAACTGTGGGGCTCTCATAAGGAGCCCCCAAACTACTAGAAACCGTTGAGACTTTGCTGTTTGCATTTTTGGGCAGTTTTTGCACTCACCGACTGGCCTATACCGTGCATAAAGCTAATTTAACTCAAAGAATGAATATTACTTCCCATTTAAAATCTAATTTCATCTCTTGTTCAGTAATATTTATTAATTATTCTTTATTTTACTTAAATCCGGAAAAGGTAAGGCAAAATATTTCAAATTCTATTTTCTAGAATTAAATTAGTTTTGTGCGCCATTGAAAACTCCATTCCGTTACCGGTCACAAATATAAATATTAAAGATAAACAAACATGTTAGGGGAGCAATACAGAGGTAAATAGTATTTAGAATACTAGCGTGATTAAAGATCATCGCGAATTAGGATGAAAGAAAAGAAAATATTCAGTATAAATGAGATTTTCAGTTGAGTAGTCGGCATCGACAGAAAGAAAACTCCATTCCGTTACCGCAGTAAATTCTAAATTTTTATAAGTAAATGATAAATATTATTATTAATTTATAGAATATTCTTTTATTTGAATAAAATATAGCAAATACTATTGATTGTTTGTTAATAAAATTTTATCTTCTTACATTAGAATCAATATATTTCGGAGCTATCGAAATTAACAAAACTCCATTCCGTTACCGCCAGTGGCTTTTCCTTTTTTTGATAAGTAAATGAAAATTTTTATTAATAATTCTTAGAATAATTTTTATTTTTATAAAACTTAACGACATTTAACGTTTTAATTCAAAGTTAGTTTTTTAAACTTCAAAATGGCGGATTCAAAATGGAGGACGAAATATTTTAGAATTTAGTGAAATGGCTTAAATTTCGTTACTCGGGGGGTTTTTGGGGTCGCTGATTACGAATTTAATGTTAGTTTTTTAAAATTCAAAATGGCGGATCCAAAATAGAGGACGAAATATTTTAGAATTTAGTGAAATGGCTTAAATTTCGTTACTTGGGGGTTTTTGGGGTCGCTGATTACGAATTTAATGTTAATTTTTTTAAAATTCAAAATGGTGGATCCAAAATGGGAGACGAAATATTTTAGAATTTAGTGAAATGGCTTAAATTTCGTTACTCGGGGGTTTTTGGGGTCGCTGATTACGAATTTAATGTTAGTTTTTTAAAATTCAAAATGGTGGATCCAAAATGGCGGACGAAATTCATCTGCCATATTGGATCTGCCATTCTGAATTTAAAACAAAAATAACATCAGATTTGTAATCAGCGATCCCAAAATCCCCTAGACAACAAATTTGAGAAGAATCCAATCAATTTTAAAAAATTTGACCGCCATATAGGATCCGCCATTTATAATTTTTAAATTATGACCGCAGATTCGTAATCAGCGACCCCAAAAACCCCCGAGTTACATGTTTTAAGAGAATCCAATTAATTTTCAAATATTTTATCCGACATATTGTATCCGCCATTTTGAATTTTAAAAAAATAACATCAGATTTGTAATCAGCGACCCCAAAATCCCCTAGACAACAAATTTGAGAAGAATCCAATCAATTTTAAAAAATTTGACCGCCATTTATAATTTTTAAATTATGACCGCAGATTCGTAATCAGCGATCTCGAAAACCCTAGAGTAACCATTTTCAAGCCAATTCACTCATTGTATTTGCGACAAAAAATTAAATAATTATTTTACAATAAACAATTATTTTTTAAACAATAATGTTTATAAAGATCGTAACCACATATTTTAGAGACTTACTATAGTCCTCCTCTTCGCATAGGAATAGTCATTTTAATGTTTTTTAATTTTTTTTTTTTAATTACAATTTAGAATTTGTTCTTTTTGAGAGATTCACCCATCTATAAAGATAAGCAACGAAGAAATTAATTTATCGCAGCTTTTTCTCACTTTTATTTTGTTATTAAATATTTGTCAATAGAAAAAATAAATTACAAGCTACTCTTTCTTTCATAGACTACAGTCGGTACAAGTCAAATAAAAAATATATATAATAATTAGTCAAGATAAATTGGTTATCATTTGTGCCCAGTTATACTTCTAGAAAAGTTTCTTACTAAGGGGCCATCCATAAACCACGTAGCCTCTTGAGGGGGAGGGGGGGGTCAAGCAATTGACTACGACAAGAGGAAAAAATGGCGCTAATACATGTAATAGCGTACTACATGGGGGGAGGGGGGGGTCAAAATTCCCAAAAAATGGGGCTACGTGGTTTATGGACGGCCCCTAATGGCGAAGAGACAAAAATAGATTATTAACTAAAAGTTAAAATAAAACATTAGAATTAAAATATTTTAATTTTTAAGCGATCCGCTTGCCTTCGATTAATTAAACGAATTTGTTTAATTGTGAACTAAGTTTTTTCTTAAAAAATTGTTCTAAAATGAATTATTTATAACCAGAAATAGATTAAATTGAACAAATTGAGTCTTACATTAATTGTAAACAATATATGAAACATTTAAATTAAATACGACTCAAAATTGTTTAATTTCAAAAATTATTAATAAATTTGATTTAAAAGATTCAATTTGATGTTTAATTTACTTTAGATAGTAATTATTAATTAGTAAATTAATTAAAATTGAATAAATCAAAATTATAAATTTTAATTCAATGTCTTTGAAAATTAAAAGTGCAACATCGTTTTACTTTCAAATTTCTCCAATTAAATCGCAATAAGTAATTGAATTTCGATGTTTCTTTTTCTCTTTCACAGCAAAACTGTATATACAATATGAAAAATTTGTCAATTTTTCAATATATTTAGACAAAAATGTTCTTTTTTTATGATAATAAAAAAGTAAATTTTTATTACAAATTTTTCTTAGTCTTCAAGTATAAAGAGTTTGTATAAAAAAATATTCTTTTAAATCTTTACTTATTCTTTTTCCCCCGTTTTAAAAAATAGATAGTAAAAAATTTGCAAAATTGAAAAATAGTTTCTTGTAAAAAAAGCAATTGCTCGAAAAAAAATTATACGGAATGTTTTTAAAAAAAATATTAAATAGTTTTTTTGTACATTATAACAAAAAATAATTCGTTTCGTCTTTAAATCTTTTTCCTTTTTTTTTTGGCTCGACTGAAGGCGAAAAAAAAATTTGATTAAACTAAATAAGATCCGATAAATCCTAATTGTGCCCATTCTGGGTGTCATAATCGTATATTCGATGATTTTCCTGCTCAAGACTTGTTGTTATATCGACTCTTAATATATAACAAATGCAAATTGAGAGAGAAATTATTAGAATCACTGATATCAGTAACATACGTTTTAAAGCTATTATTTCATTATATAGCCTGTTGTGGCGATCTTCTAAGCGATTGATCTAAAATTTTTAATTATTCGATTAAAATCTCATTTTATCATTTAATACAACTAATTTTCTACTATTTAATAACAGGAAATTAATTACTAGAGTAATTTTAATGAAGTAATTTTTTTGACTATAGAATAATTTAATTTCAAAGAAAATCTCATTTTTCCTACCTTCGAAAAGAGTCCCTCGAGGGAACGATCACTGACCGAAGAACTTGATATTGAATAATTGGAATTTGATTTCAGAATTTCGACATTATCGTAACTTCCTTCGCGGCAAACTAGCCGATGTTGTTCCGCTCCTTTTCCAACAGTCTGTTTAAAAATAAATAAAATTCCATTTAAAAATCATTCTTTTTCACAAAAAATTTATAATTCGCACTGAGAGACCTTTGGGTCAGCAGCATACTTTCGATAGGCTGCTACTAACCATTTCGGTGGAACGCTACAGGACTACACTTTTGGGTTGCTGCGGTACAATTTTGGGCGCGTGACAGTCCAAAAGTTGTTTAGCTGCAACTACTTCGGCGAGCTGCTTACCAACATTTTGGACAGTCACGCGCCCGAAATTGTATCGCAGCGCACCAAAACCATAGTGGAGCTGCTATTGCATACGTTGTTCCGCTATAGTCCCAAAAGTCTCTCAGTGTAGAAAAAATGATTATTTTTAATTTACTATTTTAAGACCCTATTGTAAATTTAAAAAAATTTATTGTATTTTTTTGAGAGAGAATGAAAATTTTGTCAATAACCTTCCAAAATTCTGCCAATTCTTGAGTCGTCATCTGGGTATCTTTCATGGGAAGGCACATAACGAGAAATCTATCATTGTGTAATAGTCCTCGTAAATTAAAACCAGGTTGCAAGACAACGGTGATTACACATTGTTGTGAAGACATTAGAATCCCAGTACTTGGTCGTACTCGGAATTTTTCTGGCGATGTTGTTTTTATCTGTTACATCGAAGCAAAGAATTAGTGTCAATATTAAAAACCATTCAATCAAATTTAAATAATAATAAATAATTTAAATGCTAAATTTCAATAATTTAAATAATTTAAATACTAAATTTCAATAATTTAAATAATTTAAATACTAAATTTCAATCATTTAAATAAAATTAATTTAAATTGAGTAATTTATTTAATAAAAAATATTGCTCTTTATTATAAACTAGCCACACTATCCGCGCGCGGGCATGTTGTATGGAACTGCTTAAACAATTTGAAACCATTTTATTTTAAAATTTTTTTAAAGAAATAATTATTATTTCCTAACAAAAATATGTAACTAATTAAAGGTGAAAAAAGATAACAATTATAGAGATTTAAATTTTCATTTTGTATTATTTTGAAACTTTAAAATTACAAAAAAATATTTAACAAATTTGAACTTCTAATTTTTTTTAAATTCAAATACACTAAAAAAGTTTTACTTGAAACAGCGATAAGTTTCTCTAGAATAGCGAAAGTATTAATTGAAACACTGAAAAATTTCGCTAATAATAAAGTGAAATCTGTAGTTTATCCTGGTAAATATTTTTTGTCGTGCATATCGAAAAAAATAATTAAATTAACATCAGATTTTCTAAAGTCAAAATAACGAATTTAACGTAGAAATTAATCAATTCAAAACTTTACCAAATTTATTCCAGAAATCACTGAATCCGATAAATTAGAAGAAAGTCAGACAAATGAAAGCTCTATTTTATATTTCTAAAATGTATAAATGTAATGTCAAATTTAACGCATTAAAAACGAATTTCAAGTGAATCATATAAATTTTGTTAAAATACTATTACTGCTGTTAAACTTTCTTGTTGTACAAAGAAAATTGAATCTCGCAAAAATTGTTCCATATTTTATACTTTTATTTTAAAAATAATTTTGATTACGAAAATTTTAAATTATTTTAAAAATTCAAAAAATAATTATTCATTTAGCTTTTTAAACAAAGAATTCCGTATCTTTCGAAATTAACATACTGCAAAAAATTAAATTAATTGAAATATGATAAAGTTAAACAACTTTTAATTCTAATTTTTTTGGAAAACAAATTATCTGTCGTAAAAATACTAAGTATAATTTGCATTAATTATTTAATAAATTACAAGATGTAATATAAATAATCAAGCATCACATTAAAGAAAAATGTTCATAATTCATTTTAGAAACAAAGAACAAAATTTCAGGTAAATTTTAGGCGTATGATAGCCCCCAAATTTTAATTCTATACATTGATTGTTTAATTGAGTTTTTAACTTTATAATTATTTATTACTCGGCAGGTATGTGTCCATAATTTAATTTTAACATTATTTAAATATTGAGAATAGATATTTGATGTAAATATTTGGTAGGGGGACAGTTTTCCCAATCTGCATTTCCCAATAGTTATTTTTCCCAATGGGCGTATTTCTCAATAATCGTTTTTCCCAATGGTCATATTTTCCAAAATTTTATTTTTTCCTAATGGACATTTTTCCCAAAATATTTTCTTCGTAGTAAATATATAAGATGTAATAAACTAACTTCATTGTTATGTAGTAACATGGTTGCCACAAAATGGTAAATATAAAATTCTAGGCTTTTTCCAGGATTTTCCTGTTAAATACTTATGAAATTCCAGTCAAAAATTAAAAAAATTTCTGGCCCAATAACACATCTTCAGCTCTAAAATTTTTTCAAAAATTCTAAATACCAAAAACCTAATAAGAATAAAAGACCAAAAATTTTTCTTCCTTAATTTTAAGTTAAAATATTCTTAAAAATCTTTAATAGGCAAAATTCCTGAAATTTTTTAAATTAAAAAAAATTATTTATTGTTCCTAAACTATGACAAGAACAATAATAATTAATATCTGGGTCATCGAAATGAATTTAATTCACAATTAATAAATGTAGCCACAGCCGATAATCAGCAGGAAATGAAAAATTATTTTTTAAGCGAACTTTATTTTCTGTTTACTAACAATTGTTAGTCAAAAATTTTTTTACTGTTCCTAAACAATGGCTAGAACAAAATTTTCTCAAAAATCTTTAAAAACAGGCAAAATTCCAAAAAAAATTTTAAATTCCATACTATTTATAATTTTTTTATTGTAATAATAATAAATCATTTATATGACCTACTTTTACCTGTATGATACTTTCTTTATCACCATATACTTTTTTTTGGAATTATGTTCATTGGGAAAAACGACCCATTATTGGGAAAAATTATTAATGGGAAAAACGTCCATTGGAAAAAAAAACCTATTGGGAAAACTGTCTACCAACCCAATTATTTTTAACTGAAAAAATTGACAATATAGATTTTCATTGATTTGTTGAATTTTCTATGAATCACGTATTAATTAAAAACATAAAAAGTAAGACACGTTAAAAGTTTATAAAATAAACATATTAGACAATATTTTTATGTAATAAAAATTATAAGAAATAAAAATTGTATTAAATTACTATTTTGTAAAATATATTTTAATAATTTAAATTTATGTTGTAGTCTTTAATAATATAGTAATTATTTCAAATAATAATTATATCTGTCAAAAATTATGAAAAATAAATATTATATTTTTAACAATTACATTATTTAGAATTTTGCAAGTTAAAAAATTATTAAAAAGTTAAAAAACTAAATATTCTGTAATTAAGAAATTTAAAAAAATATAATTCAATTGAATGTAAATTATACCTATCAAATAACTTTTTTCAATAATATTGAAATAATGTTAACATTAAATTATAGACATTAAATTATAGAAAAGTATTTACCTTTAGAGCAAATGATGGTTGTAAAGTTAAAAATTGAATTAAACACAATAACAGTGCTGCTAGATGATTAAAACGACAAATCTTCAAACTTTTCTTATTTACCTTCAGAAATCTTTAAATTAGTCAAAAAACTTTCTTCAGATTTTTTAAAAAATATAAAAAATGCCAATACTTAACCCACAAAATTTAATTTTCAAAACAAACAAATGAATGCAGATAATTTGCTAACGGAAAGGAAACTTACGATTATTATAATGTATTAGGTAATTTATAGAAATAAATAAATAATAACAAACTAAATAAGACTATTTGTTTTAAAATTACTCAAGAGGGAATTTATTTTCCTCACCTTGTAAGATAAACATTTATCGGAAGTAATATTTTTCAAAGTAATTGTTCCTACGACTTCATTTCCCTCTTTGTTGAATACCAGGACATCTGGCTCAATTGATATCACTGAAATTAATATTTCGTCGCATTAGTACAAAAGCGCAAAAACATTTTTTGCAGTTTTTTTTACAAATTTAACTTACTCTTTTCTTCATTTTTCGTCTGATCTCCAAAACCACTCGTTGGCTGCTCAGTCATGGGAGAATTTTCGGCGAAATGAACCTAAAATTTAATTTATTACAAATAAACTCTAAATAATTTAAATTTAAATCTAAATTTTTAATTTAAAATAACTGAAATAGAAAACTAAACGACGTTTACATTTAGATTTTTTTTTAAATATTTTAATATTCCAAAAAAAGGAATCTACATATATTAATAATCGTTGTATTCCGGTAATCTGCTCGCAGTTTAAAGTTAGTTGTTATTTGCTTTTTTGTTTCATAACTTATTAAAAATTTTTCTTTTTAAATATTTTCAAATTTAAAATTAATGTAGGTACCTATTGAATATCATTGAATTCTTGCAAAGAATCTTATCAAAAAATTTCAAGAGAATCATTGAATTCCTTCGAAGAATTGTTTTATTTATGAAAATAATTTAATTCTCGAGATGAATTTTATTAAAATTTTTAAAAATCCTAATTAAATTCTTTTGAAGAATTTCTTTGAATTTTTTTTAAATAATGGAGTTTATTTAATAATTTTTATTGAACATTTTGAAAGCAATTGAATTTTATTAAAATTGTATTGAAAATAATTGAATTGAAGGGCTACATAAAATAAGGGGACGAACGCGAGGCTTGGAAGGGATACTACCAGTCGGGTAGCAGTGACAGGCCTTGAGCCGCTCGCTGCTACCTGACTGATATTATCCCTTTCAACCATGCGTTCGTCCCCTTATTTTATGTAGCCCTTCAATTCCTGAGAAGAATTTTATTATTTATAAAAATAATTTAATTCTTGTGAAGAATTTTACTAATAAAATTATTAAAATATGTGAAATGTTCCGAAGAATTTATTAAAATTTTATGAAATAAATAAATTTTATGTAAATATTTGAAAATAATTAAATTCTTTTGATAATTTCTATTAAAATTGTTTTGAAAAGAATTTAATTTTTGCAAAGAATTTTACCATTTATAAAAATAATTGGAGAGGTCAAAGAATTTATTAAAATTTTAGGAAAAATTGAATTGTTTTGAAGAATTTTATAGAAATATTTGAAAATAATTCAATTCTTTCGAGAAATTCAATTAAAGTTGTTTCGAAAATAATTTAATTCTTTCTATTTTTTTGACGAACATATTTAAAAATTGCATTGTAAAGTAATTTAATTTTCACATAGAATTGTTTAAAATATTTTGATAATAATTGCCAATTGGATTATTTTTAGAGAATTTTAAATTCTTGTTGAAATTGAATTTTATGGAAATTTTTGAAAATAATTAAATTCTTTCGTGTAATTTGATTTAAATTGGATTAAAAATAATTGAATTCCTGCAAAGAATTTTACTGTTTATAAAAATAATTGAATTTTTGCAAAGAATTGTACTACATATTTATAAAAATAATTTAATTCTTGCGAAGAATTATGTTAAAATTTTTGAAAATATAAACAATAATAATTAATTTTGTACTTAATAAGTGAATTTTAAAAATTTTGATTATGAAATTATTTTAAAATTTATATTTGAAAATAAAAAATTTTGTAATTTGCATAACAATAATAAATTGAATAACATATTCAGCGCGCGTATCATTTGCTAGTTAGTTTATAAAGAAATAAATACGAAACCTTTTTGTTATTGTCGACTTTTCCATTAGTCACGGCGCCATTAACTTGATCCTCGGGAATAAATTTAAAACTATATTCACTCTTTCCACCCCATGATTTTAGGGCAACGTTTAAATCAACATATTCCTTGATATTTGATTTTTTCACGAATTTTATCTTTGGAACTGCCTTAGCTGGTAGCCAGGATTTTATAATATTAAACGCCGCATTTAACACCCAGGGCATTTCATAGATGATTATTAAATTCAAAAAGTGTGGATAATAACATTTGAAAAGGCCTATAAGATATTTTGTAAATTCCATGTCCAAATTCGAAAGACCCGCCTCCGCCATATCAAAAAATATTGATATTTGACTACCGTTTCCTTCTCTGGAATTGAAACGAAATTTTTCTTTAAATTCAATTCAATTTAACAAAATTCAATTCTATTTAAGGTATTAGTCGCGTAAAATGGTTTTCGTCAGATTTTTTTTCAAATTTTGCATATTTATTCCTGAAGTATTTATGTACAGAATGAGACCAATTTCATTAATTTTGACCGTTTCAAAGCTTCAAAAAATGAATTCAAAGTTCATACCCAATGCATGTATTGAATTTGTTTAGTAATTATTTATATGATAACTAATCGTCAGATTTTGAAATACAACTACCAAAGTATTCAATTAGATGAAACAAATGAATAAAAAAAACATGACATTTTTTTACCGCACCAAACTATAAATTGACTATAAATTGACAGAAAGTTAAAAAAATAATTAAATTGTATGAACTTTCATACGAACGAATAGAGTGGGGAGTTAAACTGTCTCTTTCACTCTCACTGCCCCACTCTTATAAGCGGCCCGGTAAACTTTTGGCCAGAGCCAGCTGCGCGACTAATACCTTAATTTAATTAAACAAAAAATTTTATTTAATTTAACTAAATTTAATTCAATTCAGTTAAAAAATTAAATAGAAGATAAATATAAAATTAAAATGAAAATATAGAAAGTAAAGTACCTTTCTAATCTTTCGAACCAATAAACAACGCATCTTTGAAGTTCTGAAAAATCTCTTGATCCTTTTGTGTGTAATTTAGATTTTACTATGAATAATTTTTTTCCATCTTTATCGTGACCATAACTGTAACAAACACCGTCTTCTAAATAATCTCTTCTTATATTGTCTAACGTAATATCTGAAAATTTATAAAAATAATAAATTTAGTACATAATTTATTAATAACAATAATAATAATAATACATTTATTTTTACTACTGCTATTTTTCTATAATTTTTTTTATTATAATAATAGATTTCTTTTTGCAACTACTATTTCTTAAATTTCTTATTATTATTTTATTTTGTTTGTAAAAACAAAAAAGTAAAAAGCAAAACTACTACTATTTTTTATAAAATTATAATAGTACTTTTGAATTTTTAACAAACGAAAATTACCGTTTGTGCCAAATTTTCTTCTCCATTCACAAGTGTCCCACAACATTTTCAAGGATTCATCCAAACGAAAATCATTGTGCTCCAAAAAACGGCTTAGCCAGTCGTCTTGATTTTTTATCCTGGCTACGTCAACGGGATGAAAACCATCTTCAACAAAAAAATAAATTATTATAGTAAACGATTTATTAAAGCATTGAAAAAACAAAAGAAAAACGTTTTATTGTTATATTTCCAAGTGACTAGTTCTTTAAATTTAAATAAGCTAACTTTGACGCTTAATTTCAAGATTTATACCATTAATTATTCAACGTTACAGTAAGCTTTGATCTTTGTTCATCAAGTACTTGTCAAGCAACCTTGAAATAAAATCAAGTCTCCAACAAGGCGAAAAATACGAAATCTGCTTAGAATTATGTAATTATTTTTATCACTAAACAATTATCACCTTCAATAACAGGTCAATTTTAGTTATTAAATATAATTAAATAATTTTTATTTTCATTATTTTCTATCATAATTTTTTGTCTTTGAAAAAAATATTAGAAACGAAATGAAAAGTAAAAAAAGTAATTGAAATGAAAAAAAAAATTGGACAAGTGCGAGTTGTACTCGCACTGCAATGGCGGGTTCCGTACACAAATATTAAAACAATACTTGCAACATTTATCGGTAATTAGTAGAATTAAAATAAACAATTAAAAAAAAATATTTAAATCATTTGATAAAAAAGAATAACTAAAAAAATTAAAGTATTGTACATATCTAATATTGTAAACAATAATAAGCAGAGGAACTATAATTTTGAAAATTTTGTTCCTCTGCTTATTATTGTTTACAATATTAGATATACAATACTTTAATTTTTTTTAGTTATTTCTTCTTATCAAATGATTTTAATATATTTTTTTCATTGTTTATTTTAATTCTACTAATTACCGATAAATGTTGCAAGTATTGTTTTAATATTTGTGTACGGAACCCGCCATTGCAGTGCGAGTACAACTCGCACTTGTCCAATTTTTTTTTATTTTTAGTTAAGAAATTAAAGTCAGAAAACAATCTCTCATTTATTCTCTTAAAATTTCACTCTTCCTTAAAATATTTAATGCCACGTGTTTAAACTAAAAAAAATTTAAAAAAAATTTTTTTTTTGAAAAAAAAATTAAAAAAAAAATTTTTTTTTTAAAAGTTTCTTAAATAAATTTTTTGTCGTCAGACTGTAATAATACACCAGGATACCAATTTCCAGCTCATTAGGTCAAATAATGTAAAAGTTAGGGAAAACAAATTTTTTTTTTTTAATTTTTTAGTTTTTCCTTGACAACGCTATGCCCATCACGTCCAATCACATTCGCTATATTTTTCCTGTAATCTACGAGTGAAAATACATATCTGGACCAAATTTGAGCTCTTTAGGTCAAATAGTTTAGCCGCTAGGGGGGGGGGACACGATTTGGCTACGGACAACAGAGTCTCACCAATAGGGTTCCGCCGATACACCGTAGGTGTACGGAACCCTAAAAATCAAATTTTTAAAAGAAAAATCTTTTAAAATATATTTTACTGAATGTTTATTTTTAACTTTTCAATTTTTGTAAATTATCAAATTGTTTTGTTTTAATCGACTGTGTTAAATATATAAACTATTATTATTTAAAACATGTGAATACCTTTACAATTAGGCCAGTCGGTGAGTGCAAAAAGTGCACAAAAGTGCAACCTGAAAAGTCTCAATAGTTTCTTGTAGTTTGGGGACCCCATATAAGAGCCCCATGGTTTGCATTCGATTTCCGGTTGCAAAAAATAGTGTAAACAATCGTCAAAGTTCGAGAAACGTAGTTTTTCGATGACTCTTGCTTCCGGTTAAATTTTAGAGGAAAAAGTTGTTATTGAAAGTTGTAGAGCCTAAAAATACCTTTCAAATGATTGGTCATACGTTGAAAAAGGTTAATTAGTTTAGTTGCAAATGAATTTAAACCATTAAAAATAGCACTTTTTTAATTGTTTAATAACTTTGTTAATAATTATTGAATTTGTTTACAACTCACCAGGAATATTCTCCTTGCGAAGCTGAATAAATTTAAAAAAAAGTCAACTCGATCGGACAAATAGTTTATGTTTTATTCCATTTGTTAACTAAAAACATGAAATTTTTCAACAGAATTTCCCCACTTTTGGACCTGCGAATTTCGTTTTTTTTTCTTCGAGAGTACAGTTTAGGAGTCAAATTTTGATTCCATTTAAATGGGAAATTGATTTTTTTTATCTAAGTGCATAATAATAGACGTTAAAAAAGGGTATGTTTTTTTGACATAAACAAATGGAATAACTCAGTCAATTTTCACTTTATCGATTTGGTGTAAAGGGAATTTAATTTCATTCGTTTTCACAAAACTTTTCCAAAAAAAAAATCCGACCTAGCTTCAAGGAGGGGGGAGTTAGTTTATTTTTTTCAAAAAATTCCTGACTAGATAATAATTAATATTTTTAATTGAAAATTGTGCCACTTATAGTTCAATACATGTATTTTACGAAAAAAAATTGAACATAAGGTTTTGTGCATTTATTTTTCATTTACATCAAGTAAAAGTAAATATATCCTTTTTTCAACCTCTAAACGTCGGAGTGGGGGTACTCGGAGGAGCGTGATTCTCGCCGCCACAACTCAATTCAGCTGTTCAAATTTGCAAAAATTGTCATAACTTCGTTAATTATTTACCGGTTTTAATCATTCTTTTTTTAATTTGATGTATTTTTTTACGCTGAATCCAAAAATGATTTTATATTTTTTCAAAATACAATATTTTTAAAAATAAAAGAGAAAGTTTTTTTAACAGAAAATTTTTAATTATTATTTATAACATTTGACAAAAAATTCTTTTCGTACATATAATTCCATTGAATTCAAAATAATATTATGACATAAAAAAATTCAAATTATTTTTATATAAGTGTGTAGCATCGTTGTATTGATAGTTGAACAGGCGTGCATATGTCAACCTAATGCTACACACTTATATAAAAATAATTTGAATTTTTTTATGTCATAATATTATTTTGAATTCAATGGAATTATATGTACGAAAAGAATTTTTTGTCAAATGTTATAAATAATAATTAAAAATTTTCTGTTAAAAAAACTTTCTCTTTTATTTTTAAAAATATTGTATTTTGAAAAAATATAAAATCATTTTTGGATTCAGCGTAAAAAAATACATCAAATTAAAAAAAGAATGATTAAAATCGGTAAATAATTAACGAAGTTATGACAATTTTTGCAAATTTGAACGGCTGAATTGAGTTGTGGCGGCGAGAATCACGCTCCTCCGAGTACCCCCACTCCGACGTTTAGAGGTTGAAAAAAGGATATATTTACTTTTACTTGATGTAAATGAAAAATAAATGCACAAAACCTTATGTTCAATTTTTTTTCGTAAAATACATGTATTGAACTATAAGTGGCACAATTTTCAATTAAAAATATTAATTATTATCTAGTCAGGAATTTTTTGAAAAAAATAAACTAACTCCCCCCTCCTTGAAGCTAGGTCGGATTTTTTTTTTGGAAAAGTTTTGTGAAAACGAATGAAATTAAATTCCCTTTACACCAAATCGATAAAGTGAAAATTGACTGAGTTATTCCATTTGTTTATGTCAAAAAAACATACCCTTTTTTAATGTCTATTATTATGCACTTAGATAAAAAAAATCAATTTCCCATTTAAATGGAATAAAAATTTGACTCCTAAACTGTACTCTCGAAGAAAAAAAAACGAAATTCGCAGGTCCAAAAGTGGGGAAATTCTGTTGAAAAATTTCATGTTTTTAGTTAACAAATGGAATAAATCATAAACTATTTGTCCGATCGAGTTGACTTTTTTTTAAATTTATTCAGCTTCGCAAGGAGAATATTCCTGGTGAGTTGTAAACAAATTCAATAATTATTAACAAAGTTATTAAACAATTAAAAAAGTGCTATTTTTAATGGTTTAAATTCATTTGCAACTAAACTAATTAACCTTTTTCAACGTATGACCAGTCATTTGAAAGGTATTTTTAGGCTCTACAACTTTCAATAACAACTTTTTCCTCTAAAATTTAACCGGAAGCAAGGGTCATCGAAAAACTACGTTTCTCGAACTTTGACGATTGTTTACACTATTTTTTGCAACCGGAAATCGAGAGCAAACCATGGGGCTCTTATATGGGGCCCCCAAACTACAAGAAACTATTGAGACTTTTCAGGTTGCACTTTTGTGCACTTTTTGCACTCACCGACTGGCCTAAATATGAATTATTGAAATATATTGGGAAAGAATTCCGTAATTAGTGTCAACATTCACTTGGACTTTGGACAAATCAAGTTACATTCTAATTTACAATAAAATCGTTGACATAACAATGTTTTTAATGCAAATATCGTGGAGTAAATAAATTTACAAAATTTATACAAACTCTTGAATTTCTGAAGTTAAATTAATTACGTATTGATTTTGAATATATATTAACAATTTTTTAAATTCCATTCGCAAGTATATTTGTCTAACCTTTTCTTAAAATGTTTACATTATTTACATATACTTTATGTACTTTATATACCTTTCAGAAAAGAGTATTTTTCAAGAAAAAATGTATCGAAACACATAATAATTAAGTAACAATAAAGAAAACTGTTTATAAATATTCTAAAATGATGGTTAAATTTGCTGGTAAAGTTTAAATATCTCTTTTAAGGTTATGTCAAATTGTTTTGTAAATTCCGTGAATTCGGTGAATTCACAAAAATGTACTTTTCTAATTTATTTAAATATTAAAATTAATTTGATATTAATAAATTAATATAGTTTAATTAAAATGTTATACATTAAAAAGAATTATCAACTTTCTTGTAAATCCGAAGTAAACATTAATTATTCTCATATAAATTATAGTTACAAGAGGAATTATGATTAACTTTCACATTCAATTTACCTTACAAATTCTCGTTGAATAGTAATACATATTAATTATAAAAGAAGAGTTAAAAATATATTCTCACTTGAATCTGGTGGACCATCTTCGTCGAGTTTTTTAAAAAACTTTTCACGTAATTCGCTAATCGGCTGTGCTTGATTATCCATTGTCAATGTCTCTGTCAAAGTCAAATACACACTGTAGTTTTTAATAATGATGATGATGATGATGATTATGATACTTTGACCGGCAAACAAGACGAACAATTTCCACTGATTGATAAATGTATATAATTATAATGAAATGCAAAGGCGATTATTTCCAGAGTTTTTTTGTTACTGCCATGTTTTCTTAAAGCCGAATACACACGCGTATTTTCCTTGTGAACTTAGCATTAGGGCGCTGAAGTTTTCAAGTTTACCTGTTACTTTATTTTTTTTTAAATTGTAATAGAAAAATCCCAAGGCACCCAAGGAATCAAAATGTATGTATTAAAACCCTAAAGGAGTATATAAATTAGAGATAAAAAAATTCAAGAATAAAATTATTTTAATTTTTTGATTTAAAGTTAAGAAAATCTCTCTAGTTATTATATTTTTTCAACGAGTAAATAGTAAAAATAACAAAAAACAAAAGTTTCTTTGAACCTTCTCGCCCTGTTTATATATATTTACCCTTGCCTGCGATGTACAGGGGGAAAAATCAATAAAAAATTTCTCAATTTGTATTTACCCGCACTTTTCTGCGCACAGTTTTTATGACCGCATTTGTCAATTGCACTTTGCAGACGACACGTTTTTTATTTACAAGCAGGACAAGCAGTAGTGTTTTGCCATCAGTGTTTGTTGCAGTAATTCTTGCTAAACTCGAAACAACTAACATCAATATTATTGTGATAGAAGAAATTAAACACATTATTTTTGAAACAAATAAAGAATACAAAAACTACAATAATGATTTATTATTGTACAACAAGTGAGTTTACTCAAAGAAAATGGAATTAAAGGACATTTACATTACTTAATGTATGAAATATTTTTTAATGATTTCCCTTCTAAGTTATTTCTTATGTAAAAAAAAATGATCAATTATTTTCATTTCGTAACTAATCCCTTTTTGCAATAACTAAAAATTCTTTTTTTGCAGCATGATTATTGATCTGACAATTTCCAAGTAAATATTTCGAAAAAAAAATTTTTGAAATCATACTTCAGGAGGAAAACAATTAAAAATCGATATTTTCTATTATTGACAAAGAATGAACCGTTATTGCTCTCTAGATTGTACAAATTCGTAAGTTTGCAAATTTGTTTTTAATTAACAACTAAATTTTCGGAAAAATAGTTAGAGAAAAATATAAAATTCTAGTTTATTTAGGTACATACGCTAATAAAAATGTTATATTTTCAGTATAAAAAATGTGTTATCATATTAATTAGACTTATTGATGCTATCATCAGAGGTTATCTAATGAATATTTGCACATGTGTTATTTTCACTTTTTTCTTCTATTACTCAAGTTCTCAGGTTTGTAGTTAATTAAATTTAAATTCCGTACACTAATTAATGAAAAGAAAATTATTTTAATTTCTCCATGTGTTTTATTTTATTTAAATTTATTAATATTTATTTCAACTTTACTGCATCTTATCAAAAAAGTAACGCTAACGATAGCATAATTTATTCATATTTCTAATCTGACTCAAATAGGACTCAAATAGAGAGTTGGAAATAAAATTTTCCGTTCGCAAACTACAAGAGGAATGAAATTACACTTTTTGAAAACTGTTTCTCAAGGGAAGAGTTCTGCCATCATGTAGGGCGTTTCTAGAATAAATAATAAACGAAAGAAATGATGACTCATGTATTACCATTAACATTGACGAAACGACGCTTTTTTATTATTATTTTCATAATCTCAATACCATGGATATTAAGTATGTTGACAACGCCAAATATGCAAGACGAAATAACATTGCAAACAAATATTGCCGAATTACAAGCGAAATTGGAACATTTACATTCTAAATATATAATAAGTCAAGAGGAAATACAATTATTGAGCCATCAATTGGCAATAATGACGGAGAATAATTATATATTACCGGATTTTCAATTTTATATGAATAATACAATGCCAAATATGACGAGTATTAAATTGCCATCGATTTATAATTTTCTACCACATTTTCTAAATGATCCAAATAGTTTGAGACCGGCGTTTGTTCAAAGTAAAGGACGAACTGGCGTAAGCATGATTCTTGGAGTTCCAACTGTTAAACGTGAGGTACAAAGTTATTTGTTAACAACTCTGAAGAACTTGATAGATCGCATGACTCCAGATGAATCTGCCGATACACTTATTGTAGTTTTAGTCGCTGAGGTAGGCTTCTCAATTAATTTTTTTTAAATGCTATTTAATCAAAATTCTATGAAATTTGACAGTATTATCAATTCATGGTATAATTTTAATATAATTTTGTCAATTCTTCGAAATGTTATTTGAAATCTTTTTTTTAGCCGGATGCTGATTATGTTTCTTATATCGCCAAGCAAATTGAAGTCCAGTGAGTAATATTTAATTCTTGTATTAATTATTATTATATTATATATATTTCTTCTTCATAGAGAAAGAATTTGTATAATTATACAAATTTATTTAATTAAAATTCTTTTCGTCTGATTTCAGATTTCCTCAGGAACACGAGGCGGGTTTAATAGACGTAATAGCGCCGTCTGCTGCTTATTATCCGGATTTAACGAAAATAAGGGACACACTGGGAGATAATCATCAGCGAGTGGTTTGGCGATCGAAGCAAAATTTGGATTTTGCATTTCTCATGCTCTATGCTCAACGAAGGGGAACATTTTACGTGCAATTGGAAGACGATATTTTAGCCAAAAAGAATTTCATCTCGACAATGAAAACATTTGCATTGCAGAAAGTTAGTTCAAAGGAAAATTGGTTTGTGTTGGATTTTTGCCAATTGGGCTTCATTGGTGAGTGAATAATTCCAAAACGAAAATTAATTAAATTTAAATTAAACTTAATTTCCCTTTTTAAATTGAAACTTTAATTGCAATTTATTTTCATAACGAAAATTAAGTTTAAATTGGAAGAAATTTTCTTTTTAAATAATTTTTTATCTAAATTTAGATATTTATGTTGGTGAAAATATATTCTTCTTTCTAGGAAAATTATTCAAATGCTCAGAATTACCCTGGCTGGTTCAGTTTTTCCTCATGTTTTATAATGACAAACCTGTCGATTGGCTTCTGGATCATTTAATTGCGACTAAAGTCTGCGGTCTTGACATGGACGTTGTAAGTATTTTTTTTTAATAATTAGTACTCTTAGTGTTTAATTAATTTAATTTATTCAAAATTTTCAAGTGTTTCAATTAATATTTTTTTGATTTCATAATTTACTACAGGGTTGCCACAAGGTCAGGGAAGTCAGGGAATTCAGGAAAAAGTCAGGGATTTTTAGTACACTCAAATCTCGCTATAACGACCTTCTCTATAACGAGGGCTCTGTCTCTCGGTATAACGAGAAAAATTTTCTTCCTATTACCCCCACTATTTATAAACAAATGCACATTCTGGTGATTTGAATTTGGTTAAAATCAATTTTATTTATATCATAATGAGCATAAAAAGTCACTTCTTTTTTTAAATTAAATCAATGAGTAGAAAATCTTCAAAATTTTAGCTTATATAAATTTTCTGTATGTTGAAGTTCAAATTAAACTAGGTTATGTTTGTAATTTTGACATTACGTAAATTGTAAACACAAAAAAAATGAATGAAGAATCTTAAAAGTGGGGATTTTTCATTTCTCCTCTTGCGCTCGTAATAGAGGGAGACTTGACTCCCGAACTTCTCGTTATAGCGAGATTCGAGTGTAAAAGTACTGGAAAAAAATTTTATTTTTTCGTGGTCTATAGACCACGAATTTTAATACAAAACCTTCAATTTTTTCTATAACTTATACAATAATTTCTTTTCAATACCTTAATTTTTCAAGAACTATCATAAAATTATGACTTATAAATTATTTAATGAATAATTTTTACAATTTTCATAAATACTAGATTTATAGAAGAATTTTAGAAAATATACTAAAAAAATTGAAGTTTGGAAAAGTTACAAATGATTTCAGAAATTCAATTACTTTTAAAAGTTATAAAAATTCTTCGCAGAATTTCAATTATGTTAAAAAATTTTTAAAAAATTCTCGTCATAATTTCAATTATCTTTATAAATAATAAAATTCTTCTTCGAAATTCAATTATTTTAAAAAATTTTAATAAAATTCTTGGCAAAATTTCACAGGAATTCAATTATTTACAAAATTTTTGATGAATTTCTTCGAAATAATTCAATTGTTTTCATAAGTAATACAATTTTCACAAGAATTCAATTATTTAAAATACAAAATTTCATAACATTTTTCCAAAAATATCAATTATTTAAAAAGATTTTTATAAAATTCGTCGCAAGAATTCAATTATTTAAAAAAAATTGAACAAAGTTCTTTTCAAAAATTCAATTTTTTTTATAAATAATAAAATTCTTCACCGAAATTCAATAATTTTTATAAACTTGAATAAAATTCTAGAAAGAATTAAATTATTTTCAAAAGTAATAAAATTCTTCGCAGAAATTCAATTATGTTCACAAATTAAAAAAAATTCTTGTCAAAATTTCAATTATCTTTATAAATATTAAAATTCTTCTCCGAAATTCAATTATTTTAGAAAAATTTTAATAAAATTCTTGGGAAAATTTTAATTATTTTTGATACAATTTTAATCGAATTCCTCGAAAAATGTAATTATTCTTAAAAATTTTATTAAAATTTGTCAAAAGAATTCAATTAATTAAAAATTTGTTGATAAAATTCTTTATGAGAATTCAATTTTAACAAACATTCACGCAATTTCATGCAATTTCAAATGTTAAAATACATTGTGTCACTTTTAGTAGAGACCCTCCCCCTCCCCCAAAAACGTGATATCATTTGTGAACGCTCCTATAATCGATTTATTATTTATGAAAATAATTGAATTCTTGCAACGAATTTTATTACATTTTTTTTAAATATGTAATTGAATTTTTTTGAGAAATTTGTCTATTTGTAAAAATAATTGAATTCTTGCGAAGGATTTTATTAGGATTTTTGTAAATAATTAACTTCTTTTTGAAAAATTTTATAATAATTTAAATTATTACAAAACATGAAGAAGATCACTCGGAGTGATCGCCTTCTTCATGTTTTGTAATAATAGTCTTATAAGTTGTTAAATTTCAAAAAGGTTTGAATTTGAATGTTTTGAAGAATTTTAATTCCCACGGAAAAAAAATAATTGATGTTTTTGAATAATTTTATAATTATAGAAATTTGTAAATAAATGTAATAGAACATTTTTTTGAGTATCTAATCATTTTTAGAGTGAATCAGAATATTCTTTAGAGTCAGGGAAAAAGTGAAAATTTTGCCTGGAAATCAGGGAAAAGTCAGGGAAAAATTATAATTAAATATTTGTGGCAACCCTGTACTAATTTTTCCTTATTTATGTTATCAGAAACATTGTAAACTGGCCAAAGCTAAATTATGGATTCATCACAAACCGTCGTTGTTTCAACACGTTGGTACTCATTCGTCTTTAAAGGGCAAAGTTCAGAAATTAAAGGTAAAATATAATTTAATTCTAAAAATATACTTACAAGTAGAAAATATTCTAAACAAAATTGTCAATTTTTATGAAAAGGAAAAAAGTATTCTAGATAAAATTGTCAATTTGTATAAAAAAAAAGGAAAATTTCTGCATAAAATTTTCAATTTGTATGAATAGAAGAAAAATAAATTTTGAAATTGTTTCAGGACAAATTATTTGGAAAGATAACTCTTTTCTACTCGCACGTGAATCCAGAGGCAACTGTTGACACACAAATAAAACCCTACAAAAAGTACACTCTGCAAAAAGCTTATAAAGGCGAATCATTTTTCTGGGGACTCTTACCACAGTCTGGCGATCATATAAAATTCAAGTTTATTTCTCCTATTTTTATAAAAAAGTAACACGTTTATTTGATTGTTGTTAACTTTTTCTTTTTTTGCTTTTCGATACAATTTATTTTGCCTGTGGAAAATATTAATTCGTAATTTTTTTGCCTTTTGTAGGTATTTATTTAGAAGCGGAAATGCCGAGCATCCTTTAGATAAATTTTACAATACGACTGTTGAAATTCTTCCTGAGTCTGCGTTTGCTCTAAATAGGAATTACAATAATGTGACTGAAGATGGATATCTAATAATAGGAAAGTTTAACACACTTGGAATTGCTAGTGGATCGGTTGATAGAAATTTAGGAAAAGTGTCAGCGATGCGCTTAACTGTTCACAGTGAAAGTGAAAATTGGGCGATTCTTTCTGAAGTAAGTTTCCCCTTTTCTTACAAATTTTACAACTTCCTTCTTTAAAAGAAAAGAGAAAATTTTACAATTTGTTCTCTAAATTAAAAAAAAATATTTTTATAAACAGATCCAAATTGAGGAGGATCCAAGCTGACATTCTACCAAGGATCAAAGAAAGAATTGTTTTCAATTAAAATTTCTGTATACGTAAACAAATTTCAATCCACATTCTACATGGTTGATGGACCCTCAATGTTATTGATGTGCCTTTTTTTTGTTGTAATATCTAATTTTTATCTTTAAAAATATCCACGATGTGATGTTGTGATAAATGTAAATTTTGTAATTTATTTTAATTTTACTCGCTGCACATTGTTTTTTAAAGAATGTTATTAATTATTATATATATAAAAATATAATATATTAAGAGCCGAGGACAAATGTACAAAACCACACACAGACACACACAATGTTTTGTTAATTTGTTTTATTTATATATGAGATTCTGTTTTTATCGATCAAATTTTAATTACGTGGGATAAATTGTGCAATTACTTGTCAATGTATAAACATGCGTATATTATATATAATATTCTAATCTATATTGATAAATATGGAAAAATTTCTTAAAGATCTGGCAATGTAAGACTTAATTTTCATTTGCTGTCTACTTTTGAAAAATATATACATTTTATGAAAAAATATTTTTAATTCTTTTAATAAACTTTTATTATTTATTATATAATAATAATTTACTTGTTTTCTTGTTTTGCAATTTCAAGAAAAAGGCGGTAAAAATTTGAATTTGTTTCGCAAAAATAGAAGTCGGTGAGAGAGATTTCGTTTTCATCGATCGGGTAATTAAATGCCCTGGTGATGGCGTTTTTAGCAGCTCCAAAATCCAAGTGGAGTTCTGCCACAAACCTTGCGGGATCTGGGGAAGTCTCGACACATCGATGACCCTCGGGTAAGTTTTTTTTTCTTTCATTTATTTGTCAAACTTTATTTAATTTACAAGAAATGGGTTTTTTTGTTGTTAATTAATTGATGCGTAGTCGTGTTGTTTAAAGAAAATGTATTCATTCTCAAACTTGAAGTGTACTTTTTCATGGTCATTTCACTAATGATCAACAACTTTTTTTTTATACGGTAAATCAAATCCCTGCTGTCAGTTAAAGTACATACAATTGCTGTACAAGTTGTAATTTGACGTTATTTGCAATACAATTTTTTTTCATGTTCGATCACCTGGTGAAATGTAATTATATTTTTAACCTCTTTCGTATTATTGAACTTGATTATTTTCGTGGATTAAAAAGTTGGTGGTTAGTAATTTGAGATTGATAATTGTTGTTTTTGGAAAAAGTTGTTTCTTGTGGAGGAATAAATATTTTTGAAACAATTATTAAAGTTCAAAATTAGCATCGATGTTTTATGATGTCACTTTGTGCTTGTCAGTTTATAGTTGTTGTATTGTTGAGTATGTATTTTATTTTCAAGATGGTAGTTTCAATATAGTTTTGGTTAAATTGTTGTTAATTATTGTAGAGTGTAATTTCTTTTTTATCGTTTAACCGAGTTTTCCATTGTTTAACAACTTGCTCGAAAATAATTTTTGTCAAAATATTTTCTTTTACAAATGGGTAATTTTTATCATAAGTATTTTGATTTTGACAATATTAAACCTTTTTCAGTATATGAAATTCTCTAATTTACTTCTTATAATTCTATTTTTATCTTTGAGGATAGGATTTGAAAATTAGACGACATTCTGCGTTATTTGAGTTAATTAGACCAAAATTTAATTAATTAATAAATTATAGTTTTATTTATTTTAAAATTTTAAAGCGACTTTATTTTTTTAAGGCGAATATTTTATTTCCTTTAAAATTTTTTTCGTTTTTTCAAAAATTGCAAATAAGTGATTATTAATTTTTTTCAGGAACAAATTCAGTTGGGGATATCCACCAAAAGCTGGTCTATGACAATCGACTAATGGCTTCAAGAAATGTACACCTGCACGCCAAACTTCTCTCGGTAACCAGTGTCTGATGGTTGAAGTAGATTAAAAAAATAATTTTTTTTTTTTTGAATTTTACAATATCATCTTCGGAATGAGTAATAATACAATAGGCGGTCCAGAACTTTTCTCCTTGCTTGAGTCTAACAAACCCAACGAGGTAGATGAAATAAAAACAGTTCTTCACGAGCACTTTCTATCGAGTAAGTTTTGTTTTTAATTTAAATTCGAAATTATTTTTTAGATAATAAGAGTAAATAAGAGTAAATTTAAAACTTTTTGTTAAGACAAACATTATATTTTTGTATTTAATTTCCACAGCTAAAGACAACTGGTTAGTAAATGGACTCTTTGAATACTATCTTTCAACAAATTCCAATAGAGCAGTTGATGTTTTGGCCAAAGTACGAGAACCACATGACAAACACTTGCTGGATAGACTGTATGAAGCTCTTGCCAAACCAAGTAATCAGGGTCAAAAACTCCTGACTCTTACACTCTTGGGCCATGTGTCACGTCGACAACCCACCTGGCTTTTTAAGCTTGCAAATCATCCACTCTTCAAAGAACTTCTCAAATTACTAAAAGTAACTTTCTTTCAATCTTATTTTCACCATTTATTTCCCATGGAATTTTTTATTCAAAATTTAATTTGAATTTATTTAAAAACAGGGTTGCTACGCAACCTGGAAACCTGGAAAACCTGGAAATGTCAGAGAATTTTGATCGAAGTCCTGGAAAATTGTTGTTTTCTAAAGTTATTGTGTTTATTATTGAAATCTAATTTCACTTAAATATTTCAAAATTAATACAATTTTAAAAGAATTGCGTTTACAATTGTCATAAGTAGATGAACTTCAAAAGACTTTGATTTAAAATGTTGTAAAATTTCAATTTTAAATGAACTTGGATTTAAAAAAAACTTTTTAAACTAAAATTCTTCTGAAATTAGTTAAATTTTTTAATATATATTTAATTGATTCTTAAAAATAATGGTTTTATAGAAGAATTTTAGTTAAAAACACTAAAACAAATTGAATTTTGAAACAATTACAAATGATTGCAGAAATTCAATTATTTTCAAAAAATTTAATAAAATTCTTGGCAAAATTTTAATTATTTTCAAAAACTTTTTTCAATTCAATGATTTTTAATATCTACTATTTTAATAAAAATTCCTAAAAGAATTCAATTAGTTATTTTCAAAACTTTTAATAAAATTCTTGGCAGAATTTCAATTATTTTTAATACAATTTTCATCAAATTTCTCGAAAAATGAAATTATTCTTAAAAATTTTATTAAAATTTGTCAAGAGAATTCAATTATATAAAAATTTGTTGATAAAATTCTTTATTAAAATTCAATTTTAACCCTTAAACCGCACCCTGGGTGTGCGACACCCATATTCTAGCATTTTACTCTAATATCTCGTTTAAAGTCGTAAAAGTTGAACATATGTCGCTATTGGACGACACATTTTGTACTTAACTTTATGTTCCGTGAGGGACATTAGTCTCCCAAGTGTCTTTGTGTATTTGATAACTTTATGAAATTAACAGCGAAAAATTTCTGGGTGGCTGATACCCAGTTTTCGGTTTAAGGTGATTTCAGTAGTTTTAAAAAACATTTTTTTTATATTAAGATTAAATAAATCATTATGAAACTTATTTTCCTTCAAAATAGATGTACTGAGCTACATAAGATAATTTTTCTGAACCATAATATCCTTTTCCAGCTTGGAGAACACAGTTTAAAGTCCCCGGGTGTCGCACACCCAGTGTGCGGTTTAAGGATGGATTCGGAAGTGTGCGGTTTAAGGGATAAGAAACATTCAATTGTTTAATAAAATACTTATTTTTATAGTTAATTAATTGAATTCTCGTAGAATTTTCTAATAAATATTGATTTAAAAATGAATTTCAAATTAAAATCCTTGAAAATTTGAACTTTTCATAATTTTAATTAAGAATTGTAAAGAATTAATTTTTCTCAATAACTTTAATGGGATTTTTTTACTTATTTGAAGTTTTAATTTCTAATATATTTAATTGAAGAATGGCAGAATAATCAAAATTTCGTAAAATTAGATTGTAAACAAAGGTATTTGAAAATTCACAAAGAACTTTTTCAAAAATTATTTTAAAAAATTGACTTAATCCTTAAACCGCACTCTGGGTGTGCGACACCCTTATTGACCATGTTCTAGCTTTTTATTCTAATATCTCGTTCAAATTCGTAAAAGTTGAACATTTATCGCTATTGGACGGTACTCTCTAAATCTGAATTAGCAAAATTCCACTAATTTCCCAGCGATAAGTATATCACTGATTCAATTAGCGTATATACGCTAATTAATCAGTGAAATTTCACTAATTCACAGCGTATATACGCCAATTGAATCAGTGATATACTTATCGCTGGGAAATTAGTGGAATTTCGCTAATTCAGATTTAGAGAGTATATTTTGTACTTGACTTTATGTTCCGTGAGTGACATTAGTCAGCAAAGTGTCTTTGTGTATTTGATAACTTTATGAAGTTGACGGCGAAAAATTTCTGCGTGGCTGACACCCAGTTTTCAATTTTAGGTAATTTCAGTAGTTTTAAAAAACTTTTTTTTTAATTATTAAGATTAAATAAATCATTATGAAACCCATTTTCATTCAAAATAGATGTACTGAGCTATATAAGATAATTTTTCTGAAAGATAAAAATTTCATCCAGTGTGCGGTTTGAGGATGGATTCGTAAGTGTGCGCTTTAATGGTTAAAGGAAAATTTTAGTTAAAATTTCTAGAAGTGAATAATGGTAATGATGAAAATAATTTTTGAAGAAGTTACAGTAACAATGTAGCAAGTTTTATAATAATATTCTTATATGTTATTGAATTTAAAATTTTTGAATATCTTAAATTCTATAAAAAAAAAAGAATGATTAAATATTTATTTAAAAATGAAGTTATTGATGTTTTCGAATAATTTTTGTTTTAAAAATCTGGAAAAATTCCGTTTTTTAATCTGGAAAACCTGGAATACCTGGAAAAGTCAGGGAATTTGAAAAGAGCAAAAGCGTGGCAACCCTGAAAAATTAATGTTCCGAAATCTCTTTTTTTCTAGACGGAGGGAGAAACTTTATCATTAATGAGTGCACTCTTGTTATTGGTGACATTATTGCCAATGATACCAGGAGTCCTTGGACCACATCTTCACGATATCTTTGAAGTTTTCGCTCGTTTAGTTACTTTTTATTATAATCAAGCTTCCCAACTTTCTTTACAGAATTCGACTTCTGTCGAGTGGGATAGAATTTATTTTTTACACTTACAGGTAATTCAAAAATACTAATTTAGAAAATTTAGAATTTATAAATTAATCAAAATAAATCTTATTAATCTACAAAAAGAAAACAAATTCAATAAAAAAAAAAAAATCAAGGAAAAGACTAGAAACCAAAAGTGAAATGTGTGTAATTCTTCTTCTCTTTAAGGTGGGACTCTATAGTCTTTTTCACAGACTGTACGCCATGTACCCGTGCAATTTTGTCTATTATCTTCAACAACAATATCAACGCGATTCAGATCCGACATTTTTTTACACTGTGCAGCCAATGTTGGAATCTGTCAAGATGCATCCGCTTTTAATAACAACGTCCAAGGACGCTGAAATTAGTCAACAAAGGTTTTATTATTTTTCTTCCTTTTTTACATAAATTATTACTTATTTTCTATTAAATCAAATTTCTATTCTATTTTATATTACATTTTCTAATTAAAAATTCTTTGGTGAAAATTGTTTAAAAATTTATCAACTGTTTCACTGAGAAAAAAGAGGGCGCGTTACAGCACATTTTCGATTCATGTTGCGCGACTCAACCCTGAATTCTTCTACACACTTTCTGGGGCGTGCAGCACGCCCCAAAGAGCGTGTAATACGCTTCAAATACAGCTCGCCTCGACTCAGGGGTCCGCTGCACGCCCCAGAAAGTGTGTAGAAGAATTCAGGGTTGAGTCGCGCAACATGAATCGAAAATGTGCTGCAACGCGCCCTCTTTTTTCTCAGTGTTATCATCTAATTATTAAGAAATCTATAATTGAGGGTTCACGTGCAATAAGGGGACGCGCAGGCTATTCGTTGTCCTCTCGCGCAGCCGCAGAATCGCTATACGCGGGGACTTTCACTTCCATGCGTATCCCCTTATTGCACGTGAACCCTCAATTAGAAAAAAATTATATTTTGTGAAATTATTTCTTTACATTTTATTATTAATAAAATGTAAAGAATTTACATTTATTTATCTTTGAAAGAAATATGATTATGTATGATAAATTTTGTTACGAAGAAAATTTTCTTTCAGGTGGAAAAAAATGGAACATCATGATGTTGTGGCGGAGTGTGACAAATATACTATAGATAGGAAAAATCAAGAGGAAATTATTGTACCTACAAAAAATGCACGTTTTACTCCGAATCCGGGTAAATTTATATATTTTTTAAAAAAGCAGTGTTTAAAATTTTTTTTTATTAACTTTTCCCTATTGAATAAATGTTTAATAGGACATAGTTGGTAATTTTTTTGAAATTTTTATTACAATCGCTACTTTTAGATTATCCATATTCTGGAAGTGATACAATTGGAGATGATGATACATTTTGGTCTCCGAGTATGTTAATGCCACCGCATAGTCCTTCAATTTTACAAACGCAACCTCATGAAATCAGATCAACGCCTTCAACTCCAGGCAATAAAAGTCGAACTTCACCACCTGAAGCGGCAGTTGAAGCTACTCCAGAAACAACACCTGTCAAGGTGAATAATTACAATTTCGAATTGTCCTAAAACATATTTTAAATAGTTTTAATTATTATTTTTATTTCTTTATTTAATTCTTACATTTTTATTTTGTAGGATTCAAGACAGATACCATCGAGGCAACCAATGAGTAATTCGGCCGTTAGGGCACTCGGTGCATTTGGAAATGGAGTTCTCGGAGTGAATTCTCGACCGTCAACACCAAATTCCGTGATTTCTTCAAATTTCACATTCGGAGGCGGCGACAATTCTTCAATAACTTCCTCGATACTTTCGCAAAAACTCGAGAAAGTCGAATCCGATAGATTCAATTTTCAATCGCCGAAATCAAAAAATGTTTCGAATATTAAGGAAAAATTGTCGGAGGCCGACGTCAGTCAAAATGGAAAAAATGATTCCTGGCAAGAGGATCAGGAGGTTAGTATTAGAAAAAAATTAGAAAATGTAGTTCAAATGAATTAAATTAAAATAAATAGTAATTTAGTTTAAAAAATTTAATACATTATTTTTATCCAATTTTACAGATTTTGGAAATTGTGAATGCAAGAGGCAGAGGAAATAATGCGTCGAGTTATTTACAACAAAGATTACAAATGAATGATTGTGTCAAGAATAAAAATGTCCAAAGATTCTTTCCAATTTCACAATCGCAAACAACAAAATTGGATAATAGTGGAAATAATGAGAAATTAGATTGCATCGAACAAAATGCGAGTAGATTGAAGAAAACCGAGGAAATCGGCACTCAAACTTTAGATTTTATTCCTTATGAACATCTCCTTAAAGATATTTGTAATAAAAAAAATCAAGAGGCCAGTTCAGAGTCACCTGCAATTCTTCTCGATCGTTACATTGAAACTTGTGTCGGTACAAATAGTTCCAGCGATTGTAATCGATCAAGTTAGTAATTCTTCTATCTTCTTTTCTCTTTTTTCTTTCAAATGTAATTTTCATTTTAATTCCAAATTCTAATTGCGAATTTTTATTTTAATTACAAATTCTACATCCAAATGACCAAATATGAATTTTAATTCTAAATTCTAATTCTGAATTTATATGTATTAAAATTTTTTTCTAATTTAATGAACGCAGGGTCGAGTGTATCGAAAATAAAGCAGAGGAAAAGAGGCGGCGACGATGACCAAGGAGACGAGAATGTAGAGGATGACGGCCTACATCACGATTGTATTAATCAATTGCAACTCGTTCAAATGCTACTTCAATTTGAAAGACAGCGACGAGAAGTTCTTGCCGAACGAAATCGCAGGCTTTTCGGCAAAATGAGAGATTCGCGTGTTTCCGAGGAACACACCGTTGCTCTCGTAAGTTTACAAATAGAAAATGAAAATTCCAACAGATAAATTTTTGCATTTTCTTTTCTTGATCATTGCAGAATGATCGTCTAAGAATTCTCGACGCTGAGAATAGTGCACTAAAAACTGAATTGGATCGAAGTAAAGCGGAAATTCGTTCAATTGATGAAAGATGTTCACAGGCCTTACAACATTGGCAATCGAAGGTAATTTATCAAAAGAAAAAAAAGAAAATAAATAATTAGTTACCTAAAAAGAAATTGAAAGTAAAATTAATATTTTTTCCAGTGCGTGGAAGAGCAGCAACAAAATCAAACTTTCAAAGACAAAATTGAAGCATTAGAAATTGAATTAAAAAGCGAGAGGAAAAAATTGTCGGAAGGCGAAAGACAAATGAAATCACTTGAATCTGATTTATTCACCGCGGGTAATCAACTTAAGGAAACATTAAAAACAGTCAACTACGCTGAAGAATTACAGAAAAAATTATGTACCATTAAAAAACAATTTTTACTATTCCGAGAAGCGCAAATGCGAATCCAACAAGAACGCACAGATATTTATACGAAAGAGGCTAAAGAAGAGACCGTCGAAATGCTCCAAAAGTCCTACGCCGAAGAGTTACTAAGTAAGAAACGAAAATTAGAATAACTTTTTCCTTTTTTTAATCTTTTTAATAATATGTGATTTTTTTCCCTTTCAGGCTTAAGAAAACAAGTGGAAAATGGAAAAGCACTTGTCGAAGCGTTTAGAAATCGTTTAGGCGAATTGGAGAATAAGGAAGCCCGCAAGGAAAATCAAATTAACGATCAGCAGCGTCTATTATTAGAAGCAAAAGAACGACACGAATCCGAATTACAAGCTGTTGAATCCAAATACAAAGCGCAAATGGAAATAAATCTTCTTCTTCAATGTAAAATTTTGGAGTTAAATGGAAAATTAGAGACTGAAAATTCCCAAAGTGGTTCAGTGACAAATTTAATGTCTTCTTGTTCACCGCAACCGTCTTCAAGTGTCGAGTGTAATATTCAATACAATACTAGTGGAACAATTAATGATTACAATGATTCCGCTGGTGAAATACTGAATTTGCATGCCATTATAGAATCACGTCCGAGTCAGATAATGACTTCGACCCGGTCTAATCAACATCGATAAAAAAAAGAAAAAAAAACTAAATTATATCATATGAACAATATTGTAAATTTTATCAGGTCTTTCATTTTCGACCTTGCTGTTCCAAAAAAGAAAATTTTTCCTTTTTTTCTTGGAGAATTTTTTTTCCATAAGAAAAATTAATTAGTAGCTTCTAAACAATAGGCTAAAATTAATTATTCAGTGAAAAATTTTAATATTGCATGATCGCGATCGCTGGGTGGAGATTTTATTATGAAATTTGTCTCCACTTTTCGATCACCAGCTTCTTTACGACGAATTCACTCTGAATAAAAGTTGAAATATTTTGTGAGCAATCTTAAAAAAATGTCTTAGTCCTTTATACTCCTTTTTCTCTTACATTCTCATAACAAATGAAAAGGTTATAAATATTATTACTAATAATAATTAGAATATAGAAAATATGGAAAATCATTTTTTACTATAAAAAAACAATGTATTTGCAAAACAAATGATTAAAATTCGTGTATAATACTGAACGATTAAAAAAGAAAAAAGAATCTGTCGAATATCACACGTGAATACGCACAAATTATATTTGTACCATTGATTGTAAATTATTTAACATTTAATAATTAATAATTAATAATGATGAAAAAATCTATAAACAATGAAAATTAAACAAATAGCAAACGATTGTTAAAAGCTTCCCTATTTTGCGAGAGAGTATTGTTTATGTTTATGAACTTTGGTCTTTTGGTTTTGTTTTTCCGGGCACGGGGAAAAAATGTGTTTGTATTTTTTTTTGTAATTGTATGACTATGTTCATACAGAAAAGAATTTGATACATTTTTCTTTGTGTTTCTGAGGCAGCAGGTATTTGTGTATTTAGTACGTTTGAAGTTCTTGACTCATTGTCATGAGTATGGCATCATTCGGGGGTGCGTAACTCGCTAAATCTGAAATAAAAAGGAAAAATAATTTAGTATCCAATTAAAACGAAAGTTAAACTAATAAGAAAATTAAACTAATAAAAAAGTTAAACTAACAAGAAAGTAAAACTAATAAGAAAGCTAAACTAATATAAAAATTAAATTATAAAAATGGAAAGAAAAAAAAATTAAAGACTAAAATTAAATTAAAATTTAACCGAAACGAAGAATTCTGAATATTTGCAAAAGTAGATTAAAAATTAGAGGATTGTGTAGAGGGCAAAAAAACGGGTTACCGTGCAATGGAAGCTAGGTAATTTGCATGCATCACAATCGTAATTACTCACGACTATGACCCTGTTGTAAGGGATAGGCTTTTGCTTTACGAAGTAATAATTGCAAAATCCAGTAAATTGTCAACCAAATGAGAGCTCCACCGGAGAAAATTCTGAAAGTAACAGCGCCCTTGTATTCGTCCATTAAGTATCCACAAAGTAAACTACCCGCCGATACGCCTGGAAATTAAGAGCATTTTATTTAGTAAGTATACTATTAATTAATTAAATTGGTAAATTAAAAAATAAATAATTAAATTAATAAAGCAAAAAAAAATTAATTAATAAAGAATTATTATTATTACTAGTACAACTTCTGCGCGCTACGCGCGCCCATTAATTGTTTTTTAACTATAAAAGATTATGCTTCTTTTAAACAAAAACGCTTTAAATGAGCACTTCAATTTTTTTTAATATGTCAATCATTTAGAAATGAATCCCACAAATTCCACAATACATTTAAGTAATTTTCATATGCTTTAATATCTTAAAAATGTTCACATAAAATATTTCGAATATCCAGTAGAGCGAAGAATTTTAATATCCTACAGATATCGTAGAATATAAGCTAAAAAATCAGTGACTATTCGCTGATTCATTAGTGTATATACGCTGATTGAATCAGCTGCATACTTATAGCTACCCAATCAGCGACTTATCACTGATTCAAATTTAGAGAGTACAAATATCTTAGGGATACCCTAATTGTATAGAAATGGGAAACATTCAGGGTATTCTTAAATATCACCAAAGTAACACATGACATTACAGTAATGTGACCGTAATGTTCCATGTAATGTTATTAATATACCAATGTAATACAAAAATGAAATTTCAACAACATTAACATGTCCACCCCACAATGTGATATTTAAAGTTATTGTAGTTACATTACATGGTAATATTACTGTAATATTGCAGTAATGTGAAAGTATACACACAAAAAAAAATATGGTAAATTTGACTACTTTTTTACTATTTCCTGTAGTTCCTATAGGCGCCCGTAACATTATTTAGTAAAATGAACTATGACAGAATAGTTAGTCTAACTGTAAAATGTAGTAATAAATACCATTTTTACAGTAAATTTAACTACTAAAACAGTTATCTTAACTATTTGTTGTTAGTCATACTAACTGCTTCATTTAGTTGCAGTAACTAAATTTTCATAGTTCCTATAGGCGCCCGTAACAAATTGTAGTTGTAACAACTGTAAAAAATAGTTAAATTAACTATTTAAAGTAGTAAAATGAAATTATTTATTTGTTTTTTATTATTATTGAGGTCCACTTTTTTACATTTTCTCTTACCTATTTTTGTTCATATATAATTTATATATTAAATTCTTATACACCTAACAGAGAAAAATACCCAAACGCCGGGGATTGAACGCACGACCCTAACATTCGCAAACCGATAACCTAACCACCTAACCACGCTCGCACGCTACGATGACTGGCATTGTACTTGAGGACATTCTTCTTAGATTCAGTCATAATAACTACTCCGTTTAGTTGCAGTAACTAATTTTTTAAGCTCAAGGACTTAGTTGAAATGTAGCCAGCATATGATTTTAAATGACTCAACGATATTGCAGTAGTTAAAAGTACTGTTGAAAATAGTTATTTTCAGAATTTCTGTAGTAAAATTATCCACTTTTTACTAGTTATAAAAAAATTAAACTTACTATTTTCATATAGTAAAAATAACATAAAAATTGTTACTTTTATGACTTTTGTAGTTATAAAAATAAATGTTTCTTACCACCATAGAGATAAATTATTAAAAGCTAGTAAGAATAATTGGTTCTTTTAATCCCTATTGAAAATCCCCATATGGGAAACCACATGGGAAACCACATGGGATCCTATGTCAAAAACCATGTAAAACCCTACTTCCATGAAGGAAACCACGTGGTTTACCATGTGGTTTCCCATGTCAAACCATATGGGAAATTGAGACAGGATTTTAGTTAGGAATAGACATGGGGAATTTGAACAGTTCATCTATGCATAAAACCATATCAAATCCCACATGTTTTTCACATGTCAAATCCTAAACCAAATCCCATGTGAAAAACATTATCATTTATTTATAATTATTTTCCCAAGTCAATCCCCAAGTGAAAAACAGTATCATTTATTTATAATGATTTTCCCATGTCAAATCCTAAACCAAATCCCATGTGAAAAACATTATCCGCCTTATTGAATATCCCTACATGGGAATCCACTTGGAATTTTACAAGGGATTTCACATAGGATTTTATATGGGAATTGACATAGGATTTCATGCAAGATTTCACCTAGGATTTAATGAGACATCACATAGTATTTTATTAAAGATCCAATGAAGAAATTTTCAAAGGATTAAAAATTATTTAATAAAAAATTAAATAATATATAGTATTAGTGTTACAAGTCATCAAAAAAGTAAAAAAACGATAATTTGAAACACGTCCTCTCTGCTACAGGTTCTCAGCTTTTATATACTTCCAGAATCGTCTCAACAGCGAGAGAAGTCACTTTCGCCACCTAGCGGTGAAAGTATAGGAGCGACAGTAATCTTTAACATTACTAAGGAAACCATGTGGAATACCACGTAGGATTCCATGTGGTTTCCTACGTGGGGATTTACATGGGATTTTACTTAGGAATTCATTTGGGAATTTATTTCTACTTAAATTCCTAAGTAAAATCCCATGTAAATCCCCACGTAGGAAACCACATGGAATCCTACGTGGTATTCCACATGGTTTCCTTAGTAATGTTAAAGATTACTGTCGCTCCTATACTTTCACCGCTAGGTGGCGAAAGTGACTTCTCTCGCTGTTGAGACGATTCTGGAAGTATATAAAAGCTGAGAACCTGTAGCAGAGAGGACGTGTTTCAAATTATCGTTTTTTTACTTTTTTGATGACTTGTAACACTAATACTATATATTATTTAATTTTTTATTAAATAATTTTTAATCCTTTGAAAATTTCTTCATTGGATCTTTAATAAAATACTATGTGATGTCTCATTAAATCCTAGGTGAAATCTTGCATGAAATCCTATGTCAATTCCCATATAAAATCCTATGTGAAATCCCTTGTAAAATTCCAAGTGGATTCCCATGTAGGGATATTCAATAAGGCGGATAATGTTTTTCACATGGGATTTGGTTTAGGATTTGACATGTGAAAAACATGTGGGATTTGATATGGTTTTATGCATAGATGAACTGTTCAAATTCCCCATGTCTATTCCTAACTAAAATCCTGTCTGAATTTCCCATATGGTTTGACATGGGAAACCACATGGTAAACCACGTGGTTTCCTTCATGGAAGTAGGGTTTTACATGGTTTTTGACATAGGATCCCATGTGGTTTCCCATGTGGTTTCCCATATGGGGATTTTCAATAGGGAACTACATTAAACACAAAAATAACAAATTCCAGCGGTTGTTCTTACTCTTTGGAACAGTAAATTTTAATTCATTTCACGGAGAGAAGAAAGTAGTCAATCTCACTCAGCCCTGAGTCATAGTTACTAAACAATATGGTGACATTTTCGTTCAACAAAACAAAAAGTAAACTTCACTAAACGGCCGTTTAGTTATTAAGACTACTAACTTCATTAGTATCGTCTACGATATAAATTGTCATATCTGCGATTCTGTTTACAATTTACCAAAATAAAATTTAACCTCTTTTATAATAATTAATATAATAGTTAACACTTTATAAATAATTAATTATTTAGAAATAATTATTATTAATTAATTATTTTTCCAAAAATTTATTATATATGGGGAACGAGAAGAAAATCAAGTAATATTTTACAAAAATACACTGACGGTGATTAAAGGTAACAATAATAAATCAATTTAAAAATTATAATTGAGCCTCCCAATTCAAGAACTCGCCCGACGCTCGGATGAACACTCTAACGCCAGTCAAACGTTAAGAAAAGTTACAAAAATTAAAATTTGAAATTTTGATTTTTCGGAAGCACTACCTTGTAGGAAATTGAATAGCGCATCTTTTTTCCTTTGAATTTTTTTCGTAGGATGAATATTGTCGGAAATAATGACGAAAAATGGTAAAATTTTGTTTTTCAAATTTCATTGCTTTTTAAAACATAAATCATCGTATCTTCGACAATTATTGTCGAATTGACTTTAAATTTGGTATGCAAGTCTATTTGGGTTCTGGGAAAACGATAAAATGATCAGAATGTAAAAATTTCCTAATTGTTCACTAATTTGTTAATGTAAATAAAGGCTTGTCAATTTTAGGTTAACTTACCTTCGTCGACAAAAAGTCTGCGGTGAACTTTCGAATTGAAAAAACTTCCAGTGAGACATTTGTTTATTAGTATATAAGGAAGTTTTTTGGAAAATATTAGATTGATTTAGTAAAAAATGTGGAAAATATTAAGGTTTAAAGACAGCGCGGAGAGCGCGACATCGAGTCGCGGCGTGCAAATATCACTAAACACCAACTTTATAGGACTCAGTTGTTGAATTTGTTCTTATTACCTCGGTTATTACTCAGTACTTTAAAAAAAGCATTAAATAAATTATTGGGATATAATTATAACGCTATGTTTAACATTATCACAAACATAAAAATTCTATAAATAATAAAGAACTAGCAACAATTCGCGCGGCTAACTTTTTACTACATTTTATAAATAAAATTAGCAATTTTAAAAATAATAGATTATTATTATTATTATTATTATTATTAATTATTATTATTATTATTAATTATTTATTAATATTAATTATTATAATTAATTATTAATAATAATTATTAAAGAAACTCCATTAGTTTAAAAAAAAATTCAAAGAAATTCTTCAAAAGAATTTAATTAGGATTTTTTAAAATTTTTATAAAATTCTTTGCGAGAATTCCGTTATTTTCCTAAATAAAAAAATTCTTTGAAGGTATTCTTATTATTTTCTAGAATTTTAAATTGTTTTTTATAAAAATAATTGAATTGCTTAAAAAAAATTTATTATTTATAACAATAATAATTGAATTCCTGTGAAATTTGTATTATTTCTAAAAATAATCAAATGTTTATATGCAATTTTATTAAAAATTTTTTTAAATAATTGAATTTTTTGGGAAATTTTATAAAAAATAGTAGATATTGAAAATAATTGAAATTAGAAAAATTTTTGAAAA